GATGGAATGTGTAGAAGTAGCCGAGGATCAAAAGGACTAGCGAGCGATCCAAAAACGGTTATTAAGAGACAGCCATTTTATACTGTGCATAAATTTGAATCATTATTTTACTGAAGGGCCCTTGCAACGACTGATTCATACTAACCAACTGCCGGAGTTCCTCGGCTCGTACACGTCACACGTTCACCGCAGTTCGGATCACTGCCATTTTGAATGAAACAAAGTTGCACCTTGCTCACAACACCCTAACTTGTTTCTGAGTTGTTCATCTGGTCCGTGCAAAGGTGGTCAGCTTGCGCCGGCAGTGCAGATTGGCTTTTCGCCTGCTTGTTTCGTCTTTCTGTTAGCTCAGTCGACCAGATGCCAGCGCATCATGCGCCTTCCGCTCAAGGTCAGTGCAGCGTGCGGGAAACCCGCTGCCAATAGTGTGTTTGACTTATAATACTGCAACCCGATTTTGCAGTGTTCATCCAGGTCGTGTAGGCATGGTCTTTACGTTGGTAACGCTGCTTGCCTTTCCAATGCATTGGCCGTGCGTCGGTTTTATTCATATAACCTGCAATTCTGACGACTCCCAAAAAGTGAAACGGTCCTCCATTGCTTTTTCAGATGCGCAATGGTCCCTGTGATAGCGACCAACGTACCTGGAAAATCGCCATCATGACTCTAAAAAAATCAGTTACAAAATGTAGGCAAAGGTGATTAAAAGTTGGGTCTACCAGTGTGTTTAAGCTCAGACACATAGCTGTGTGGATGCGGCAGCCACAATGACTGCACTTTAAAGATCGCATTTACGGGACAGCGTTGCATACTCGATCGGTGCCTTCATCCTAAGTGTTATTACCAAACTCCGCAGCCTTTGCGGCGCATCGTTTCAGTGCCCTTACAAACACGTTAGCACCACCGGTTGTACTCCAGTTAGACTTACATACTGGAATCAGCGATAGGGAGAAGACCTAGTAATCCATCTGTCGGATAAACAGACCTTCACAACTGTACTGAGGTGTAGGTTGGAAACTGCTCCGATGCTCAGCCAGCCAATCAGCAAGAAGTGAGGACAGAATAAAGGGCTTCGCGTTCTAGTGAACTTCGCCATGGTAGTTCTGAGGAATACAAACTGCTGCAATTGTGTGGTTAAAATAATACATGTACGAGGCAAAGTAATCGATCTTATGGCCCAAGTTCCGTTGCTTGGTTCGAGGCTCACGTTCACGAACTTCTCATGTAGTTACCAGCTATTTCCTTTGTACGTATTCATTGCCTCTGTCAGCTATCCAAAGATGGAAGTGACGTAACGCATTTAGAATTTTTCTACTTTCTTATAACCCCAGTACAATCAGCATTACTCTCAACCCCTTGAAGCCATCCGCATGTTCGCCAGGGGTTTCGTGCCTCTAGAACATAACTTTCTTCGCTGTACCAGAAAAAGTCTAGTAGGGAAGGACAGTCAACACAATAACATAGAGAATTGCTTTATCATGTTGAGCATCGCTCCCGTTGATGGTCTAAAGAATACCATCAGTAGATAGCATGGGGAAAAACAGTCTGATGGTCTCGTCAATCCGATGGATCATGCAAGGAGAAGTGGGAGCGGACATCCAGCGAACTTGTGCATAATTGTAGCTACCGCATAGCCCGTCTGACTTATTGTTTTAAATTCGCGAAACGACTACAAGGTTAACGCATAGTGAGTTAAGGCAAACGTTTGAAATAGAAGCTCACCCAAAATGGACTAATGTTAGTTAGGTTTCCTGATGTCTCCATCTTATTTAACTGTATGAGTGGATGGTTTTTCCGAATTTAACTCACTTTAAAGATTTCATCGAAGTTGGAAGCTCCAACTTTTTTCAGTTGAATGTGCTGCCGCTTTTTCGTTCGCCATCGTTGTAAAACTCCAGTAGCTTGCACCTGGAATGAAGTGTTTAAGCCAGGAGAACACTTAGACGCAGCGGCGTTTAAGGTAACTGACGAAATGAGCCAATGTTACAGTGGCATAGTTCACGTAGAATACCAATGCTTGGGGATTTACTTGAAAATAATCTTATTCATCCAAATCAAAAAATGGTGCATAGGCGCATTAGTCTGTCAAGATCCTCTGTGGACAGCCCCTTTCAAGCGAAGAAGCAACGCTAGCTTGGACATGATACGTACATAATATAAGATGCTGGGTGCATACAAGTGACTGAGCAAGGATTTTTGGTACAAATGAACGGCACTAAGCAAGTCATGTAAGAGAAACTCACATCAGATCCCTCCTCGGTTCGACTAGTGATTGTCACATGAATAAATAATGTGGCCAGGGGAATTGGTTCACCGGTGTCACCCCTCAAACGAACGTGACGATAGCCTAAAAGGAAGGAAAGAATACTTTGATTGGTTGCATAGTCGACAAATGATATGTGGTAAATCCTGAAGAAGTCATCTCATGGTTAACCAGTACATAGATCAGTGAATGGTCTGTGAACAAATCATGCCTAAGCGTTAGTAAAACCGCCTTTTACCACCTAGCATGGCATCTTTATAAAGCCGCAAACGTGAACTATGGCCAGTAGGAAGAAGAGATTAGAGTATGTAGTGCAGAAGGTGAGTATTTCTTCGATAAGGTTACTATACAGCCAGGTATACGGAGCAACCTAATTCTAAAATGGATCCACGTGGCACTTTTGCGCACATGTGGAGCTGCTCGTTATGATTAGCATGAATATATAGCCAAGTTAGGAGGCTGTGAATCATGAAACAACCAAGTATCCATGATGCACATAGTTGACCATTGCAGTCCGTTCTTATTTTCACCGAGAACTAGTTCGCTAACCAACTTTCATTAGTGAAATTCCGTTCTGTTCCTCATACTGTTAGGACCAATAAGCTTTTTTTGCTATGTGGAAGTGATTGCGCAATATCGATTTTGATGTTAACCGCTCCATGTTGAAGACCCAAATGAGGGGTTACCGTGGTTAACTACGTACATCGTTGATCAAAATCCTGGGGCTAGTGGATTGATTTGACCCCCACCCGACACAACTGTCCTGCTTTTGTTCTGTTATTGAACGTAAACGTAATGAAATTTTTAGGCTAAGCACTTTCCACTTGATGTCGGCTTACTTAAAGCAATTTAGATTGTCGACTAGAAATCTAACCATTATCTAATCAGTTCATAAGGATATCGATATTTTTACAGCTTATCTCTGAATCCATGGTTTCGTGCTTCATTTGCGTACAAGTTTATTGTCGTTAAGAAAGTAATCAACTAATTGATCAGTATTGGTCATATGAACCAATTCACGGATGTAACTTATGTACAGCTAATTGCTGATTCAATAACCTACATCGGCTACTATCTAGTTCTAAGTAGTATACCTCTAATTTACATCTTTATCTACAATAGTCGGACAGATTGCATCAGAATCTCAGTTAATCGATGAACTGCTTATTTTCTATTTTCCTCACTTTATTACACAGCTTCTGCTTATTGATGGACATCGAATTTTATGGCTCAAATATCTGGACGCTTTGCTTCAACGCCCAACATTTTACGCCATTGAGCTAGTGCATCCTTTCATTGCTGAATACCTGAGACTATTTCTACAACAAGTTGCGACTGTTTACGTACTAGTAGGTTATACGCATCAATTTTTCTTTATGATCACTAATATAGAACCAAGGTTAGTTCAGTATAATCTGTTCTTCCCGCTGTCCTTAATTCTTACAGCGCAGAAGGCGCTTTTAGATAGGTGATGCTGATTCATCGTTGGCGATTTCTATGGTAACAGGTTATGTTGTGATGGCCTTGAGGCAGGCACTACTGCGGCCGTTTTCAGTAGTGCAACAGTGCTAACAAACCAAACGGTAACGAGCCAACAGCGAGTCGTTCGAACGCCCCTAGGGAAACGGAACAATTACAACCGCAGATGTATGCTCGCTGGGACTAGCATAAAAGGAATGTAAACCACACAATCTCCAATCAGAAGTGCGTAGATGAGGGAAAGTTTCGTTGGTCAGAACTGATGTGTCGGGTTCATGCGGTTTGTTGCTTGCATCGAGTTTTCACAATGTGAAGATGGTTACCGCCGGTAATACTGACTTGTATACAGCAAACGTATGGTGGACGGGGTTTGGAAAGCAGGCGTTCCCGGTGTTCATAATGATTTGGTATTGCATCAATGTGGGACAAATTGCCTTCAAAAACAGTCCAGACACGAATGTAGAACTTACCAGAAAGGAGACAGTCGAATGGAATTGTGTTCTGACCAATAAAATCGTCCCCAATAGCGTGATCATCCAGGACAACGAAGCGAACCAATGCCAGGCTGCCCAGTTGCACACAAAATTCAAATGTCTCATTGAAAGTGGCACTGTATCCCGACGCATTACCGGCTGGGGCGGTTGGAGTTCGTTGTTCTTCACAATCCACCGGAATTCCATGGATTTCAACGACCACGTAGGGTTCAATTGTGTCGCCCTTTGAAACGGATCCCCTGGGCTTTGGAAGTTGTTGTGCACTGAGGATTTTGAGGCGAAAAATCTAGAAACCAGTTGGAATACAGTGGTATACCGTATACTTTTCGAAGTTCTGTGCCATTAAACCATGAAGCATAAGTATCACTGAATGGTGTCGGGACAGCAGATGTAATGTCATCGGCACGAAAGAACGGCTCTAAATAACCACATTTCTTATGCAAGCCCAAAGCTTATGTGGGAGCAGTTTGAAATACACCTATCAGTTATCGGGACCACTTGTAGCCCGGGATGCCGCGAAAGTACCCAGCTCGGTAAGCAACCGAATATCTCACTCAAACATGACAGTCCTGCTAGATGCACCAATCTACTATATTCGAGAATCTAGGCGAAGTAGGACCAAAGGGTTATTCTCGACATCTGCCTAAATCTCGGCCCAAATGTGTGTACAACGGGGGAATCTAAGCCTACTCTATGGTCCGATAATGGCTCTCAAATCCTCAGGCTCCTTTACGTCTTGTCTTTAGTTACAGAATTAGCTACAAGCTCAACTTTAAGGGTTAACGGCCAAGTTCGCCCACGCATTATAGCCTGGTGGGATGTTTCCAGAATTGCTTCACTTTTTTAAAGGAACTAGTAGAGTCACGTTGCCAAATAACGCCGTTCTAGACAAAGTTCACCGGTATTCGAATAAGACTTGGTGATTCGATGACTCATCCACAGTACGTAGTGTAACTCATCAGGAGATTACGCAACGTATGCCAATAGCGTGTTGTTTTGTCTTAACCATGGGATCTGGTTGGGTGAAGTCGCAGCTGCCTTCATGTGATGTAGAACGAATACACCAATATATAAGTTACTTTATAAACCCTGCTTTTTCGCAACTTCAACTCTATTAAATAAATAAATAAGTAGCTAAAAAGCATATTCCTCGACAGTGTGAGACAGAGTCCAGCTGAATGGTATTCCTATGGGACATGCGTAGCACAGGTTTTCTTATCGTTCGCAAGCGCTTGTTACATAGCGTTAGTTGTTTGACCTGCACTTTGTGAGAGATGTGTTCTATAAATGGCTACGCAATAGCTAGACAGAGTATCAAGATCCAAAATCTCGCTTGACTTGTCATGTGATTCGTAATAGTTGTGATACCCAGTTCATGGCCCCTCTGTCCAGCGACTGTGTTGGTCTATGCAACCCCAACTAACACGTCAGGGCGGCGATGGTTGGTCATTTTACATCGAGCTATCTCTCATTGTGAAGAATGACTTCACCAGGTAAGTTAACAGGGTCACAGTGTATGAAAATTTTAAGAAGGCGCCAGTTGGAAACCTACAACTTTATTTTCCCAAATGATTCACAACTAGACATCATTTAGTCCTGCCGGTTTCCAGTGATAAGGTTCAAGACTGGTTACTGGGAGCAGAGGCTATTGAGTTTGCCGCAGATAACCACTGTTTATTTTCAGTGTGTGGTAGATGAGATGTGATAGATATACAATGATCGGAACTAGCTAAGGACCTCATGTAACTTCCCGTCGTTATCTGCTTTGATTAAGTACTCGGAGAGAAGACTTGTTATGTGGGAAAGCCACATCCAGGCCCGTCAGGAGTAACAGTAGCGACCAACCACTACGTGGCCACAGTGCATTGCGTACGGTTAAAGAATACGGCAAGATCGTCCTTAGCTACGGAGAATTGAACCGATAAAGCCAGGACCAATTGATCATAAGTCAGGGGGATCGCGCAGCATGTCACAAAAACAGACATAACAAAATAGACTGTAATTGCTGGGCTTGCCTAACTGAAAGTAGGACAATATCAAGTTATTGGGCAAATCGGAATACGTAAGCTTGTCAGGTGAGAGAGTTTTGAGCCAGAAACAAGGAAATGAAGGCATAGACGTCTTTGGCTCGCAACTGCACCGCAGCAACCAGTATTCCCGACTATTCTTCTGGCACAACTGGAGGATGCATGCATTTCGTATTGTCTCCTCAGTACCATTAACAATAACCGGTATGCAACTATATACTTAAATATGTGTGTGACCGAATAAGCATAAGGTGAAAAATGAATGACGGAAGTTCCACACTTATGTCCACGGCAGTCTTAAGCTGATAAATAATTGCTTTTGAACACACAGGGCCGGCTTCATCCGGCTTATCGCAACCGCCTCGGCGAAACGGAGGAAGCGGGGATTAGGGTGACGTAATACAAGTGTGAACGCTGATCCGAGCTCTATCCGGTGACGCGTAGTCAGTAGGTGTTTACCTATTGAGGAAGCTGGCGGTTTGCGCAAGCACGGAATTTCAGTGGGACAGGGATTCTGGTCAATTTCACGTTGAACCCACCTTGGCACGTGTTCCTTTATTCGGGAAGTCAAAGACCGATTGGTTCTGCCTATGTAACTGTCTCCGCAGTCGCATACGAATTTGTATATGCAGTGTGAATTGGCCCCTATCGGTTGAGCTTCCTTCGTTGGAGGCACCGGCAAGTTACAGGTTCTATTGATGACCACAACCTGAGCAGCACAGTAACTTCTCTGCGTAGCAGAGATTAAACGTTTCGTGGTTTTCAATACAGTAAAGTCACCCTTGAATGGCAACTCGATATAGATCTTTTTCTTGGCTGCCGTATGCACCAAGTCTTTCGGGCCTCGCTGTTGGCTGTGTCTCTCTATAAATCTACGTGGATAACCATTTGCAACGAGGGTCGTTGTAATTAACTCTAGCTCGTCGGCTAGACAATCAGCGGAGCAAATTCGTCTAGCACGACTAACTAAAGTTTTCACAAGGGTCCGCTTGTACCGCACTGGTGTGAAGCTGGTGAAGTGCAGGTATTGGCCGGACCAGGTTGCTTTTCTGTAGATAGACCTTCTAATGAGCCCGTCATCTCTGCGACTGATGAGAATGTCTAAGAATGGCAGACAGTTCTTCTGTTCCACTTCGCAGGTGACCCGCAAGTTGGTATGTGCGCAGTTGAATTGCTGCACCAACTGGACAATCTGCTGCTCTGATGAACAAAAGGCCAATATGTCATCAACATAACGCTTATAGTATGGCAACTGGGCTATTTCTGTGGATATGCCTCTTTCTATCATCAGCATGAAAAAATCGGCAAGTACAGGGCCTAGTGGGCTACCCATTGCCACACCATCGATTTGACGATATGGGGTGTTCTGAAAGTGAAAGCCAACATTTGCTGTGCACAGCAGTAAGGATTCCTTTAGAAATTCGACTGGAATTGGTAACGAATAACTAGAGTGCTCAGCTAGCTCACATATGTATTCAACAGTTTGTTGTAGTGGGACGTTGGTGAATAGAGATTCCACATCCAAGGAACACATGACCTTATCGGAGAGTTTGATGTCATCTAAGTCACCGATAAGTTGAAAAGAATCTTTAAGACTATATGGATTGGACAGTTGTCGTAGAGGCGAAAGTATCTTCACTAGCCAGCGAGCCAATTTATGCTGCGGCGCATTTACCATTGATAGAATCGGCCTAAGTGGTACTCCACTCTTGTGCGTCTTCGGTGACCCGTATAGCTGCGGAGTAGTGCTTCCACTTGGCTTCAACGAATTATAGGTGTCACTATCAATCACGCGATGAATGAGAAGCATTTCAAGATGGGCAGCTATGCTAGCTTCAACGTCGGACACGTTCTCCATCTTATTAAGTCGTTCAAATTTACTCGTGTCGTTGAGTATACTACTCATTTTCTCAGCGTACTCGGCCTTGTTCATGACTACCACTCCAGAGCCCTTATCCGGTTTCATCACATTCTCATCACACATTCTCATCAGTCGCAGAGATGACGGGCTCATTAGAAGGTCTATCTACAGAAAAGCAACCTGGTCCGGCCAATACCTGCACTTCACCAGCTTCACACCAGTGCGGTACAAGCGGACCCTTGTGAAAACTTTAGTTAGTCGTGCTAGACGAATTTGCTCCGCTGATTGTCTAGCCGACGAGCTAGAGTTAATTACAACGACCCTCGTTGCAAATGGTTATCCACGTAGATTTATAGAGAGACACAGCCAACAGCGAGGCCCGAAAGACTTGGTGCATACGGCAGCCAAGAAAAAGATCTATATCGAGTTGCCATTCAAGGGTGACTTTACTGTATTGAAAACCACGAAACGTTTAATCTCTGCTACGCAGAGAAGTTACTGTGCTGCTCAGGTTGTGGTCATCAATAGAACCTGTAACTTGCCGGTGCCTCCAACGAAGGAAGCTCAACCGATAGGGGCCAACTCACACTGCATATACAAATTCGTATGCGACTGCGGAGACAGTTACATAGGCAGAACCAATCGGTCTTTGACTTCCCGAATAAAGGAACACGTGCCAAGGTGGGTTCAACGTGAAATTGACCAGAATCCCTGTCCCACTGAAGTTCCGTGCTTGCGCAAACCGCCAGCTTCCTCAATAGGTAAACACCTACTGACTACGCGTCACCGGATAGAGCTCGGATCAGCGTTCACACTTGTATTACGTCACCCTAATCCCCGCTTCCTCCGTTTCGCCGAGGCGGTTGCGATAAGCCGGATGAAGCCGGCCCTGTGTGTTCAAAAGCAATTATTTATCAGCTTAAGACTGCCGTGGACATAAGTGTGGAACTTCCGTCATTCATTTTTCACCTTATGCTTATTCGGTCACACACATATTTAAGTATATAGTTGCATACCGGTTATTGTTAATGGTACTGAGGAGACAATACGAAATGCATGCATCTACCAGTTTTCGTCTTCTTACCGTGCTTTTCAAATTTCTGAAGGGAACTAACTGCTTTAAACAACTGGAGGACTACATTCTGTAGAAAGACTGATACCAAGTTTACTCATTTTCATACTCCGCTTGTCCACACTCTTTTCCTAACTTATTGCCTGGCTTCCCTGGGGCTTCAACGAGTGCTTCACGAAGAGACAGGTTGATAACAGGTACATACATTGAACAGCCCCTCTAAAGCGGCTGGTGACCAAACGTTAATTAACGAACTTCCCTATCAGCCACTCGTCGTTCTTGGTAAGCACTAGCAGTGTTTCGCAGACCAAGTGATCAGAGGCGAC